GTTTGGTTTTCACTTACTATGCAAGGTCTCATCTTGCTTTCTTAATGGCTAGTTGAGAGGACAGGCAGAATTTTTTTTTTTTATTGCTGCAACTTGTGCAGATGGCTGACAACCACTCTTCTCTTGAGGGCAAGAACCTGTATCCTGGAGCACCGTGCACACCAAGGCTGTGTCTAGACTGGCCAGTTTTTCCAGAAAAATCAGCCGCTTTTCCGGAAAAACTTGCCAGCTGCCTACACTGGCCGCTTGAATTTCCGCAAAAGCACTGACTTCCTACTGTAAGAAATCAGTGCTTCTTGCGGAAATACTATGCTGCTCCCCTTCGGGCAAAAGTGCTTTTGCGCAAAAGGGCCAGTGTAGACAGATTTGTTTTCCACAAAACAGCCCCAATTGCGAAAATGGCGATTGGGACTTTTTTGCGGAAAAGCGCGTCTAGATTGGCAAAGCAATCTAGCATCTAGATTGTGGAAAAGCATCCATGCCAATCCAGACGCTCTGTTCCAAAAATGCTTTTAATGGAAAACTTTTCTGTTAAAAGCATTTCCGGAAAATCATACCAGTCTAGACGTAGCCCATGGGTATGTCTAAACTACGTGGCTCCGTCGATGGTGCCATGTAGATTTGTTTGTTCCTCAAAGGGAAATGAAGCCGTGATTTAAATAATCGTGGCTTCATTTAAATGTAAATGGCTGCCCCGCTCTGCTGATCAGCTGTTTGTCGGCAGATCGGGGCAGTCTGGACGCTCCGCTGCCGACACGAAAGCCCTTTATCGACCTCCCTGGTAAACTTCATCCTACAAGGCATAACAGGGAGGTCGACAAAGGGCTTTCAGGTCGGCGCGGGAGCGTCCAGACTAGCGCGCTGAGACGACAAACAGCTGATAAGCTCAGCGCAGCAGCCATTTAAATTTAGCCAGCGATTATTTAAATCGCGGCTTCATTTCCCTTTGCCGATCAGCCTAATCTACATGCCTCCATCGCTGGAGCCATGTAGTTCAGACACACCCCAATGGTGCAAGGGGATCATTTTGCACTAGTGAAGCATTCACAGCAGAGTGCAGAGGGAAAATCTTGCCCTTGTGATGGGTGCCCAGTGAGGCCACGTTCCGCTCACGGCTGCGGTGTCGGCCTGTGCCGTTAGCTTGGTAGCAAAGCTCCAGTCAGGAGGGTGTCAGGTGAATTAGAAGGAGGGAGAAGATGGCAGATATGGCAGCACCGTGTAACATGCAGGCGTTGGCCCCCTTGAACGCCGTGCTGTTGGGCCCCCGGCTCCCAGGAGGCTACAGCAGAGCGTACAATCAGAGAAGGCCACAGTCCTGGTTCTCTGGGGTGGGCCTTTTACAAGCTGTCAGCTGCTCACCGTACTTGGCCCTGCAGTCGGTCGGACTCCGGTGGCCCTGCTGAGTGAAGGTGGGCAGGTAGCGGTGGGCAGCCAGCGGGGATCCACGTGGCCCACGAGACGTTTTGTTGACGGTTGCCCACATGCAGGGTTGCCGAATGTCATTGGTTTCCATCCAGGCAGGTTTTTTCCCCTGCTGGTTTTACTAAAGCAACACGCATGGAAAGCAAGAGCCTATGCAGGGAGGTGCTTGTTAATTACCTGAACGTTCCCTGTAAGAGCCGGGCGCTCCCTGCAACCCATCCCAGCGCCGCTACGATTCCATCAGCACATCCTGCAAATTCTAGGCACGCACGCACAGTGAGCAAAACTGCCCTAGACCGGGCGGCTGTCGTGGTTACAACTACCATGAGTTACACCTCGCTGGGGTAGGCCAATTTCCTGTAGCGAGAATTAAAACAGCTGGCAAGAGTATGAAAACACAAACAGTACATCGCAGACGTTCCCTGTGCCTCTGCTCACTATGTCCCATTGCACAAGGCCACAGTGAAACCAAAAAGACAACTGTTTTGAAAGTAATACTCTTTAATCCAGCCTGTAATTAACCTGTGTAACTCACTGCTGCATGATGCTGAGGCCAATAGCTTGGCATGACTGACAATGGCTTAGGCCTCACTTCAGCATAACCCAGTGGATCTCTCTCTAGTAATCCAACCTCAGCTCACAGATCATTGGCATTCCCCTCTGCATCCCAGGAAGCTTGACTCAGTGCACTCAATAGTCACTCAGGAGCAGAGGGGGGTGGAAGGAGAAAGCATTCTCCCAGCATCAGGACAGTGCCCGTGGAAACCTCCGGGCATCTGCAGCTGTCACCCGCCTTGATGATCCTGCAAGGGCACCCACACGCTCTGTTGGCGCTCGCAGCCATCCCGTGTCTCAGGCAGAGACGTCTCTCTCGCCTCTGACCACGGTCCTTCCAGCTCCCTGCCTGCACTGCAGCACTCCTAGCAGAGAGGCGCTGCCTCCCGAGGTCTGCCTGTCCCCTTGCCCCTAGGGGCAGTGCAGAGTGTAACCACCAGCGGTTACAGATCCCCCATGCACTCCCTACGCAAGCCTTGTTATTCTTCCTAAGGTGCCAACACAAGAGAAAACCGTCCCAAGGGAAGAAGAACGTGTGTGCATGCTAACAGGCACCCCCGAGATCACAGCAGGCCTGCTACAAGCTCTGGCAAGAGCAACACCCGCCTCGGGTCTCCTTGTAGTTTCAGGCGCATCACAGCTTTAGAGCAGAAGCAGCATGCCTCCCAGGAAGGCCCTGGGGCTGCTCTAAAGGAGGCTATTTAACCCCACGTGGGGCCCAGCAGGCTCCAGTGTGAGCCCTCCAGGGCTTGGCTTCACGGAGCTGCTCTTTGGAGGAGTCCCGTGAGCGTACCCCAAACACCCTCACACCGCCACAGACCCTGGATGGACCCCAAGGCGAGGGACTCAGCTCCGTGGTGGGGTTCTTAATCCCGGGAGGTTTGTCCAGGTCTCCCCAGGGACCGAAGTGGGACCGCTGGGTACGAGAGCCTGCACGCCGGAGCCGTGAGCCCTGGGCTTTTTGGCAGGCTGGGCTCCCGTCCTGGGCTCGGGGGCGATCCTGTCTTCTGGAGCCAGTCGGGGCGTTCTGCTTCCCTGGAGAGCCGTTGCTTCTGAAACGGGGCGCTGCTATGGGACAAAGGGGACAGGCGAGCGGGCAGAGCTGCTTGGCGCGGGCGGGGGAGGGAGCAATGCCAGGAGGTCACTGTCCCCTCTTCGCCAGCCCGCAGTGGACAGGAGAGGGTGGCAGGTTACCAGGTTTCCCGTACAGGACAATCCCCAAACAAGACGCCCTGGAGACAGAGGTGAGGTTGAGAATGCAGAATCCGAACACCAACCCCCCATGGCACCGGAGGTAAGGAAACCCCCGCCTACCCCTCTGTACGCGAGGCCCCATAGCCAAATTCCTCCCTCCCCTCGTTGGGGCGATGCAGAGCTGCACCCTGCCGCCCACCAAAATGGCACTGCAGCTGCCAGCCCTCTCCCCCCGCTCCCCAGCTCCTCCAGGGTGGGGGTCTGAGGCTACCATGCCCAGCCCCAAAGGGACGGGGAGGCAGGTTGGGCCTGGGCGGCCCAGCACCGGTCCTAGCAGGCCTTCAGTGATGGAAATTTCACAACCCCCTTAGGCAACTTATTCCAGTGTTTCACCACCCTGACAGGCAGGAAGTTTCTCCTAATGTCCAACCTAAACCTCCCTTGCTGCACTTTAAGCCCGTTGCTGCTTGTCCTGTCCTCAGAGGCCAAGGAGAACAATTTTTCCTCCTCCTCCTTGTAACACGCTTTTAGGTACTTTTGAAAACAGGCTAAACAAACCCAGTTTCTCTCATCTGTCATGGTTTTTAGACCGTTAGTTGCTCTTCTCTGGATTTTTTCCAGTTTCTCCACATCTTTCCTGAAATGTGGCACCCAGACCTGGACACAATCCTCCAGTTGAGGCCATATAGGTGTGGACTAGAGCAGTGTTTCTCGACCTTCTTTTTTTTTTTATAAAGTACCCCTTTTAAAAAATAAAGAAATAAAATAAAACTAAGTACCTCCAATACCTACCGTTTTCAGATGCACAAAATTGTTTTCTACTATTGCAACACATTTGTTCAAGCAACTTAATCATAGCTGGGCGGGCGATGACATTTTGGGGTGTAAAAAGTACAAAAAGAATAAAGTGCTGTAAAACGGTAAACAAAAATTCAGTTTTCTCTAAATTTCCGTGGTGTTGACATCCCCCCAGACTTCTCTTGAGTGCCCCTAAGGTTCCTCGTAGCACCGGTTGAGAAACACTGGACTAGAGCAGAAGACCGACTCTCATGTGTTTCTTTTACAACACTCCTCCTCGTACCCCCCAGAACGAGGCTGGCTTGTTTCCGATTCTTAGACTTTCACGCACTAGCCCTGCTTCAGCTAACACAGCAACCCGTATATCGCATAGCCCTGGTTCGATTGTTAGCCTTGCCCCAACAAGCTACAAGGGCAAGCCAAAGCAACACATGCCCAGTTTACATTGGGAAACTGTCTACACAAAACCACAGCAATGCGATAAAAATCACCCTTAACTCATGCAGCTGTGCAGACTAGACTTTCACGCACTAGCCCTGCTTCAGCTAACACAGCAACCCGTATATCGCATAGCCCTGGTTCGATTGTTAGCCTTGCCCCAACAAGCTACAAGGGCAAGCCAAAGCAACACATGCCCAGTTTACATTGGGAAACTGTCTACACAAAACCACAGCAATGCGATAAAAATCACCCTTAACTCATGCAGCTGTGCAGACTGACCTGCCCTGACGCTCCCTTTCTTCGCTTGGTTATCACCGTTTTATCTTCCATTCCACCCTTATTCCCTGCCCTCGTTCTTCAGAGCAACTTTCCAGGGACAAGAGCCCATGGGGGGTCACACATTGTGGCCTTATTTCTCTTCCCCTCGTACATCTGTAAGTATTTTCAACAAGAAAGCAGCCTAGGACAACCCAGCAGCCCGCGCTAAGAACTTCTTTCCCTGACCCTGTTTACGGGACGGCAAACCGCCTTCCGAGCCTCCCACAGAGAAGTGGAAAAGGGAGCGAAAAACAGCCACCGAAAGCGCTAACCTTGGGGCCCCGCGACATCTGTCCTCTGCAGCGCCGTGTGGGCCAGGGCATTGTCGGCCTGTGCCCAGCTCAGAGTAGCCACGATCAGAGTAGGCTCCGGATTCCGGTAACTGTCTCCCGGGCTTAGTAACTGCCAGCTGGGGGAGGGTGCCCGGGCCCGGGGGCTGATGGCGGCACGAAGAGAGATTTCAGTGGGGTTTGGCTTTACCCCCTCGTGGCCGACGGTGCTGCTGCTCCTGCGGCCGTTTGGGACTTCTCCAAACTCTCGCCCACCGCTCAGTTGGGGTGAGATGAGACTCCATCACAGGCTAACGAGGGTGAAGGCTGGGCAGGCCCCTGCGGTGAAATTAACAAGCGGGTTGTCAGTCCCAGGGGGCAGGTGACACCTTCAGTGGACCCTGGGGCTTTCGGAAAGGCAGAAAGGATCCAGAGCCAGGCTCAGCAGAACAGACCCCGTTCAAGGTGCCAGTGCTCACACCAGAGCTATGGGGGAGACCAGAGTGATGCCAGGAAGGGGCCTGGGAATGGGCTGGTGTGTTAGGACTTGGGACGTCAGTGAAATTTTCTGCCACCCCAAAAGGGGCTGAGCTAGACACATCTCAGTCAGAGGAGAGCTGGGACGTGCACCAGGGCAGTCTATGGGATTGGGGAGGGGGGTAAGGTGAGACCCTCTGCAACAGCTCCAAGCACTGGGGTGCTAGCACAGGGAGTTAGCCCCTCACAGAAGGATGGAGAACGCCCTGGTTACTGGGGCTAGCCACAGAGCGGGCACAGCAGGGGCGATAGCTGGGGGAGGACGCGTTGGCTTTGCTCTTTGCAAGACATCCCCCTCAACGCAGAAGCTTAGAACCCAACCCAGCATGTCCCGGTTCCCATGCTACGCCAGCGGCTGGTGAGCAAATACCTGGTCCGGACCGTGCTCGTTTCTGGGCCCGATCACGGGTTTATCTGGGATACGTTCCCTCACGCTCGTTTCTACTTAAAACATGGAAGTGAGGCAGCTGGCCCGATTCAGCGAAGACGCTGCCCACGCCAATGGGAGAGATTTTCCTGCCAGCGCAGGTACTCGGGCTCTCGAGAATTCTCTCCTCAGCCGAGCGCTGTCTAAGTTGGTTTTACGGCATCGTTGGGGTGGGGTGTGGATTTTTCACACCCTTGAGCAATATACTTATACTGACCTCATTTCCTTGGGCAGACCGGGCCTGTTCTGAGATAGACTTGAACTAAGACTTCACATAAAAACACACGTGAGTCTTTTGCTGCTGCCCAAATTACAGCTCAGGTCGTTAACGTTTTCCTCTCAAACTCTCGCTGCCCTTTCAGTCTAGACGAGGGTGTGAATCACTTCCTGTCCCAACCTCTCGCACACTGTTCCCAGCAGAGCCCAAGGAATGCGTGTGCCCCACTAACCGTTCCCTGAGAGCTGCCAAGAGGTAGGGCTCAGCTTCCGTGCATGGGCGTGACTCAGTTTACCAACCACAACCTGCCACCATGAGCCACGGAGTTTCCATGAGAAGACATCTAGCATCCGCTGCAGGCTGGCCTCACTGCCCATGTGCATTCGCTCTTTGCAACGTCAGGTTCACGCACGCCGACCTGGAGGTCTAAACTTAACCCTCAATCATGTCATCATTATTGCTCTCCAGTGTGGCAGCGGGCACCACGCGCCAGCTGAGAGACCCCCAGTGCTCAGGATTAAGTCTGAATTAACCCCTAATGATCTCCTACCGGGGACTATCGTTTGCTATCAGATTGGCTAGACTGCATTTTAAATATGGAGGTATGCCTATATGCTCCAGTCCACAAAACTAACCAACCCACCCATGCCAAGATGGAAGGATCCAAGAAAGGCAATGAAGGACAATCCAAACCATGGAGAGCCGGCCTATCTGGGAAGCCGAAAGCCACCAGGTGCATAGTTTGGCTGAATACAGACTCGGTCGCCCTCGTGAAATAGCTGCAGAGTGCATTAAGGAGTGGGAGGAATTGTTTGGCTTGGTTGAAAGATTATAGTAACTAACAACAAAGGTGAGAAATTGAGCAAGGACAGTCGCATACAGCTAAGGCGCCAGTGTCCTAAGGGAGAGGCCACGTCCCTGTCGCTGGTGCGTAGCGTGGGCGGGTAGCGCCAATGATACTAGACGGAGCATCCAGAAAGAGGAGGCGTAGGATCGTTTCCTGCATTTCGTTATTGATGAGGTCACTGGAGCAAGGGCCCCTTTACACTCCAGTTATAACCATCTCGGCAGGCCTGATTTCAGCCCGCTTCTCTCTGGTAGTGCACGGCAGATGTTATACATTCCCAGGCCTCAGACGTGGGTGGCCATATTTTGGTGACACGTCCAAAAGCCACATCCCATCTGTGCTGTAACGCACAGCAGCACTGCAGCTGGATCTGACAATAGTGTTGCACGAGGGGCTGACTTGTGCTTGGGGTGCTTAAACTGTGCTTCCGACCGAACCGAATTCACTACCAAAATTAGGGTAGGGCTGTTGGGCATTTAGAGCAGGGACCCATGTTTTATGCATGAAGAGTGCAAAGTATCTTCCCCAAATCACAGCAGGGCAGCACTGGATTCATTTCAATCTGTTGGCTGAGGAGCTAAACATTCATTAAAAGTGGCTCCTTTAAGAACTGTAGCACCCCCTCAGTTTTGTCCCCAGATGATCTTCGCTTGGCTATTTTTCTCTCCCCAAACGCTGGGGGAAAAGAGGCTCTTGTCTAGATCTGGACGCTTTAGACAAATTAAAATTCCCCTCTCCAAATTAATGCTCCTTTTCCATTATTCTTCAGAAGTTCAAGTTTCTCAAGGAGAAGGCAGCGGGTTATTTTTTAAGATCAGAATCTCTTGCACCGGCTCTAGTCACAGGCAGAGTGGGAGAAGAGAATGGCATACGACAGCCAGAACAGGACAAGAAATTTGGGCCTAAAAAGTTAAGTTAGAAACTGATGTTTTAAGGTGGATCCTAACAAACTATCTTCACATTCTGGAAGTGTCACACAGTAACACTCTCGTTGGGTTTCTGTTTCAATGCGTCTGCAAAGCTTGCTTGTAAATGTTATTATAATACAATAAAAAAGAAGGAAACCCAAACACTACGGCAGAACTTACCATATGATGCTAAAATGATGTGAACTTTTACACACAAAATGAAATCCAGGAGACATAAATAAGATAAGAAAAATAAGAGACGAATAGAGGGAAGGAAACAACAGAAAAAGAGGAAGGGAGAGGGATATAAGCCAATCCACCAAATTATATTCCACCGCTTCTAGAAAGTCTGTCAATATCTCAGTGAGCTTATTTCTATTCTGGAAGGAGTGTGGGCAGTTTTGGGAAGGTAACGCCTTCCCTTGCCTGCATGACCCATCGGGGCAGTTTGCTGAAAACAGCCATCACCATGCAGGCGCAAACCTGGAGTTTGTTCTTCCTCCCTGGGCTTGGCCTTGCTCCCTGCTTGAAGGGAAAGCTCCAGAAATTACCAGCAGCTGCCGGATTACATTAGTGCAGGCAAACAAAAGAAGCGGAGAGGCTAACAGACCGGAGACGTGCTCACTGACAGCTGCGGTGCAGTCCGGGCGGAGCACGAGCCTCAAGAACTGTTGCACTGTTGCTGTGGACGCTGCTTGTGGCTAGCCAGGCAGGAGTTTTGTTACCGGAGTGGAAAGGGGGCAGCTGTGCTGGGAGGCCCTTCGTGCCCAGACAGCGTGCATGGAGTGGGAAAAAGGCGGTCTTAGGGGAGGAATTCCGAGTGTTTACTGCCCAGTTACGAGGCATTTCCTCAATGAGCCGGCATGCGGAGCACTGGGAGTTAAGCAGCATGGGCAGAAGCATAGCTAGGGCGGCTCCCCCCCTCCCCCCAGGCCATCTGAGTTGCTTAAGTTTCTGACATTTCAAATCCGGCTAAAATGGGTCAGGCCCGATGGGCGCCAGCGTGGGGCAGATGGAGCACAGCGCCGGGCAGCTCGCACAAGAAGCCAGCGCGTCCCATTCGGAGGCTGGCTCCGCACCTGGGACTGGACATCTGGCAGGTCCCACGGCCCCGGGACCCGGCGATGGAGCCTTTGGAAATCCCACACGGAACCGCGCGCCCCGGGGCCTCTCTCTGAAGCTGGAGCGTGCCCCGGTTAAGACTCCAAACCGCATTAGCAGCCCTTGACGACTGCATAGGCCCCGCCCCCAAAAAACCGTACTCACCCACGGGCCTCGGCGACTGACCGGGAATGCCCGAGCAGCTCTCACCCGCCCGGCTCCCGGCGCAACACAGCACAGGACGGCCACGCCTTCAGAAAGCACTTTGCCGCGCCGGTGGATTGGGTTGTAAACCAGCCCCACGCCCTTGTCAAGCACTTTGAGAGCTGCAGATAAAGCCTCCCACACCCGGCCTTAGAGCCCAAGGCAGCTGGGAAAGCGGCCAGCGGATCTCAGCACCTGGGGTTGTGCTGGGAGCGAAGGGTGGCAGGAGCGTTTCAGCGTGTGAGCCGCGAGAACCTGGGATTCTTCCCGCCGCTGACATGGCTTTGCTGTGGCTGCCGAGCTGGGGCCCTGCAGCCTGCGCACAAAGCTCTCCTGCGACTCGCGCAGCGGCCTGCTAGCTGGAAATGGCTTCGTTCCACGGCGCTGCCGGCGTGCGCTCAGGCTTGGAAAGAAATTGTTGATGGCCTATGCTCCCATAGGAGCTAAGGGCAAAGAAGAAGCAGGCTTGCGTTCACTTGCCGTTCCATGGCGCCTTCAGGTGGAAGAGACAGGGCTTTGGCTGGCCTTCCCCAGCTGGGCCTTCCCCCAGTTGCCCGTGACTACTTCCCAGTGGTGTTGTGAGGATAAATACATAAAATATTGTGAGGTGCTCTGTAATGGGACAGACTCTCTTAACCTAATCAATTTGGATGGCAAAGACTGAGTTCCTATTGTGACATCGTCAAGACCTAAAATAATGGGGAGCAGGCGTGCGCTCGCTTGCTTTTCCTTGGCAGGCGTGCGCTCGCTTGCTTTTCCTTGGCAGGCGTGCGCTCGCTTGCTTTTCCTTGGCAGGCGTGCGCTCGCTTGCTTTTCCTTGGCAGGCGTGCGCTCGCTTGCTTTTCCTTGGCAGGCGTGCGCTCGCTTGCTTTTCCTTGGCAGGCGTGCGCTCGCTTGCTTTTCCTTGGCAGGCGTGCGCTCGCTTGCTTTTCCTTGGCAGGCGTGCGCTC